TTCAACACAAAATTCACGCAAAAAACTTTTAGTGCATATAGTTGATCTTTAATGATCGATGTACTTGCTTAAACAGTTCGCCACTTACTTTTTCATTCAAAGTTGACTATGCAAAGTTGACTTAGAGTGTATTTGGATTTAGAAATTGATTTTGGAAAATGGATTTTAGAGAAAAAATTAGATAAATGTGTAATTGGCCGGACTAAGAAAAAAATCGTGTTATTTCAATTAATTTAAGACTAAAGTTTATCTTAGTGATTGATACGATAGGTTTAATAGATTAAAAAATATTTTAATTGATAAATCAAAATTATATATTATTATTATTATAATAATAATTATTTATTATAATTATATTATTTTAATAATAATTTATATTTTATTAAAATTAATTATAGGTATGTATAATAATATATGTATATATATATATATATATATATATAATCGATTTGCTTATAAAAGAATCGATTCTTTGTTATACCTATATAATAAAGAGAATTTGTTACATGTATATATACTTTATAGGGTTAATTATGTTTTGTTGTCTAAAACTATTAAACGATTTTTGTTTGTCTTTTTTTTTTAATTATATAGATTCGTGTTCTTACAAAATGTATGGATTTCATCCTCAATATTTAATATATGGTTAACCGTTCTTGTGACGTGGTAAACAATAGGTCACGCCATTGCTTACTTTTGGACACGTGTCTCAGTTTTAAGATCACCCAACATCACCCTTCTTCTTTAACATCTTTCCATGTTCCACCATCCAAACATCTTCCCTCTCCATTTTTTCAACACTTCTAAGTGTTCAGAATCTAAGTGTGAGTCCAAGTCTTACATAGATAGAAATGAGATAGTAAAACATTATATAAAGGTGAAAGACCTATCAACTCATCGTTTTAAGATTTTAGATAAAGAGTGACGTGAATCCCTTATATGGTTGAACTCAGATGTCATTGATATTTATTTCTCTCCAGTGAATCTCTTTGTTGATAGACCCAACAGTGGTATCAGAGCCTCTTCGATAGACCCAACAATGGTATTGGTTTGTCTTGGTGACCAGCTTAGACGAATATAATGGTCCCTATATCGAAAGCATTCCTGACGAAGGATTTCAGATAAGTGAGTCCCGTTAAAATGAACTTCGGTACAAAAGATTACTAGTGATTGTAGTTGGTTAAAAATACTTTCACGGAAAGAAAATTGTACCAATGTGAAAAGGAACCACCTTAAGTCCAAGTTTCATGTTAGATAAAAAGAAAACCCAACATAATATCCAATAAAGGCTCACCATCACAAAAATATAATCATCGTCTTCATCCAATTTTCTTTTTAGTACTTCATCCAATCACCATCCCCGTATCGAAAGAATAATTTGTTATCTTTTCATTTAGTGAAAACCTCAATAAAATGTTCGCCATAAACATAAAAAATTCATCATAAACAAAAACCCAAATTCATAAAAAAAAAATGTTCAACGACCTAACAGTGAGGATTATTTTTGGATTTTGGATTTGATAGATTATTAAATTTTGATAAGTACTATTTATTTAGAAGTATGAAAATGAATTACCATATTAGTTCGCTACTGCTTGAGTTAAAATCAAGTTAATTCAATTTAACTCACGTATTAAAAGTTTTATAGTTTGATTTGACCTATTATTTATTAGTTAGGGAAGCATTAACTCATTTAAATGTATTTTGTTAGAAAAAAAATCAAGATGATAATCTATTTTATTAATTATTAACCATAATTATTAAAATATTAACTTATATAATCAAACAAACAAATAAGTTTAGTTTTTAAAGCATTTAAATAATATTGAACAACATTATAAACTTAAAAGTGTGATTAGACATTAATGGATGATAGATGAAATAATATGTCCAACAAACAACAAATATAGGGTTAAATATGTTTTTAGTCTTTAAATATATTTCTGTGATGGTGAGCCTTTATTGGATCATTATGTTGGGTTTCCTTTTTTATCTAACATGGAACTTGGACTTAAGGTGGTTCCTTTTCACATTGGTACAATTTTCTTCCGTGAAAGTATTTTTAACCAACTACAATCACTAGTAATCTTTGTACGAAGTTCATTTTTAACGGACTCGCTTATCTGAAATCCTTCGTCAGGAATGCTTTCGATATAGGGAACCATTATATTCGTGAGCTGGTCACCAAGACAACCAATACCATTTGGGTCTATCGAGAGGCTCTGATACCACTGTTGGGTTATCAACAAGAGATTCACTGGAGAGAAACATACATCAATGACATCTGAGTTCAACCATATAAGGGATTCACGTCACTCTTTATCCAAAATCTTAAAACGATGAGTTAATAGGTCTTTCACCTTTATAATGTTTTTTAACTATCTCATTTCTATCTATGTAAGCCTTGGACTCACATTAGATTCTGAACACTTAGAAGTGTTGAAAAACTGGAGAGGGAAGATGTTTGGGATGGTGGAACATGGAAAGATGTTAAAGAAGAAGGGTGATGTTGGGTGATCTTAAAACTGAGACACGTGTCCAAAAGTAAGCAATGGCGTGACCTATTCACTAGTACAAAATGGGCTTTTACTCGCAGAATAGGCCTCGGTTTACACCAAACCGCTGTCTATTCAGACACGGTGGCAGTTTTGTAATTAACGAGACCTTATAGGCTCGGTTCAGACTTGACCGGTGCCAAAAAGGGTTACTACCTTTGTTGTGAAGGCAACCGGTGCCTAATTAGTGGTTTCTGACACGGTTTAAAAAAAACCGGTGCCAAAAAGAGGTATACTGCATCGGTTGGTAGGAGGGACCGAGGCGTATCAGCCTCTACTGCTCGGGCCAGAAGGACCGAGGCATATAACCTCTATTTCCCCAAATATTTTCCCCTCGCTCCGAAAACCTACCCTCACGCTCTCGCGCCTCCCCCTCACCTCGCCTCCCTCTCGCTCTCCCGCCTCCCTCCCCTCACCCGCCTCCCTCTCGCTCTCGCGCCTCCCTCCCCTCACCTCGCCTCCCTCTCGCTCTCGCGCCTCCCTCCCCTCAACCTCGCCTCCCTCTCGCTCTCTGCGCCTCCCTCCCCTCACCTCGCCTCCCTGCTCTCGCGCCTCCCTCCCCTCACCTCGCCTCCCTGCTCTCGCGCCTCCCTCCCCTCACCTCGCGTCCCTCGCTCTCGCGCCTCCCTCCCCTCGCCTCGCCTCCCTCGCTCTGCGCCTCCCTCCCCTCACCTCGCCTCCCTCGCTCTCGCGCCTCTCCCCCTCGGTCTCGCTCCGTCACTCTCTCGCTGGTCGCTCCGTCGCTCTCTCGGTCTCCAAAATCTCCTGCGAGGTGTCGCCTCTGGAGGGGAAGAGCAGCGTGGTGGGGCGTCAATGGTGGCGGCGGTGATAGTGGTGGAGGTGGTGGTTAGATTAGGGTTTTTCTGATGTTGATGGTGGTGGTGTGAATTGAGATTAGGGTCAGATTGGGTAAAATTAGGTCAGATTAGGGTTTTTCGAATCTGAGATTTTGTTTTACTGCTTCTTTGAATCTGAGATTGGGTAAAATTAGGTCAGAGATGTTGCCTGTATTAACTTTTGTGTTAATGTGGCAAGCAAATGTGGTCAGATCTACAAAAAGGGGTGAGGGTTTTGCTTAATCTGAGTTCTCTCCTTGAGTTCTCTCCTTGTTCAAAAACCCTACTGGTAATGCATAACCAAAAAAAAAAAAATAAAAAAAAAGACCTACTGCCTCGGTTTAGCCTCCAACCGAGGGCAGTTGAAGGACAAGAACAATCTCGGTTATCTGATAACCGAGGCCGAATCGTAGCGTTTTTTGTCTCGTTCCAGAACCGAGGCATAAAGTTGATCACTTTTTACCTCGTCTGAATATGCTTTTCGGTTCAAAACCGGTGCCTATAGCGAATTTAACGTGCCGTTTCCTTTAAATGTACTGGTGATGTTTACCACGTCACAAGAACGGTTACCCATATATTAAATATTGATGATGAAATCCATACATTTTGTAAAGAACACGAATCTATATATTAAAAAAAAAGACAAACAAAAATCGTTTAATAGTTTTAGACAACAAAACATAATTAACCCTATAAAGTATATATACATGTAACAAATTCTCTTTATTATATAGGTATAACAAAGAATCGATTCTTTTATAAGCAAATCGATTATATATATATATATATATAGATATATAGAGAATAGATATAATATATATATATATATATATTATACATACCTATAATTAATTTATAAAAATATAAATTATATTAAATAATATATCATAAAGAATTATTAATAATATATATAATTTTGATTTATCATTAAATATTTTTTAATCTATTAAACCTCTCGTATCAATCACTAAGATAAACTTTAGTCTTAAATTAATGAAATACACGATTTTTTTTCTTAGTCCGGCCAAGTTCACATTTATCTAATTTTTTCTCTAAAACATTTTCCAAAATCAATTTCAAAATCCAAATACACTCTAAGTCAAAACTTTGCATAGTCAAACTTTGAATGAAAAAGTAAGTGGCGAACTGTTAAGCAAGTACATCGATCATTAAAGATCCAACTATATGCACTAAAAAGTTTTTTGCGTGAATTTTGTGTTGAAGTTATACTTGATTAAACAAATCAGTTAGTAAAACACATTATTTAACTGGAAAGAGAAGTTTTTAGCATAATGAAGTTGTCAATTATGTTATATGTTCAAGAAGCGAGGACCATTTAATCATAACCTTTCTATATACACATTAACCACACGTTAGTAATTTACGTGTGTAACCACAAATCAATCCTGAGACTTAATTAAAGTTTTAACCAAATTACATCTAGTTACAAAAATAAATATATATAATTGATTTTGCTTTCATTTTCCACCGACAAAAATGGAAGTGATGAAGTTAGCAGTACACCCATGACAGTTATAAACAGCAATGTTGTGTGTGCATGCACGTGACATAGAGATGAATGCAGAAAATAGCACAGATGCTTAAAGAGAAGAGCAGATAGGAAGGTTTGCTGTAATGAGAGAAATTAAAGAATGCAGGCATTAAAAATAACAGAAGGATTGTGAAAGATCACAACATATGCTGCCATCTTAGGCATGAGAGCCAGAGCCTAGGTAGAGGACTCGTTTTATGGCAAGGCTATTACTGCACCTGCTTAATAACATGATAACTTAAAATATAAAACTACCTAAATTCTAGAGCCATTTGGACGCATGCATCTCAATTTCCGCACACAGCTGCACTCACGCAGAAGGGCATACAGAGTTTGATTCTTCTCATCCACACATATTTTTTATACAAAAATATAGCATGTCCCCAGCATCCATAGAACAATTCACATATATGGTACTAAAAATAATTAAAAATCGTTTCCATGAACTTCTTTCCTCTGTCATTTTTCAAATACGCATATCCCAATATCACAGTCTGAGCTTGTGTTTAGAAAAGGGCTTAGCCTGTTCCCTTCATCCCTACTGCTCTGCAGTAACAGCAGTGCCATGTCGTGGCTATCATGGGGTTCAAAGCTTGAGAGACCATTGGTTTCAAGCGTGTCTTCTTGACTCAGTTGAGAGGCTACAAACTTGTCAAGAGCTCTCCAATCAGTGACTTTCTTTGTGTTGTTGTTGGATAACCTGTTTTGAATGTCTTCGTCTTCGTTATTGTCTGATACCAGTGACACTGTGCTTGGCCTCTTCACTAATGGCAAAGACGGGCTTTCTAGCTGAGGAAGTTGTACAAATGGATCTTGAAGCATGCAACTCAAGTTATCCGCTTCTATCTCTTGCTTACACAAGAAATTTTGAGATAAAAAGCTCTGAGACTGCCTTGAAATGAGATCGATTGGATCAACCACAGTGCTTACACCACTTCCTTCCTCGAAGAAGTAGCTTGAGTCCCATCCTTCAATAGTCTTTGTCTGTCCAGTGGTTTTTTTCTTGAAGGCTCTGCACACAACCCATCCTTCCTCCTGCATGAACACAATATTTAAGTTACAAAGTTGAGATGAAAACTCTCTGTTACTTTTTGAGTTTACCAGACTTGCTACACGTTAGGGGAAGAAAAAGTGAAAAGTCTATTGTTGTTGCTGCTTTAAAGCTTTTAAGTAAGGCTTTGCTTTATCTTTGAAAAACAATTCCATCTGTTTGGTGTGAGGCTGTATGTAGTCAAATAATTAATTACGTTTTGACAATCAAAATGGCAAGAAAAGTGTGTAGTAGAAAGGGAAGGAAAAGAAAGAAATTTAATTATTCGCTGCTGAAAGCAGTGACTTTTGACTTCTTGTTGGTGAAAGTTATGTTGCGAGAAAGCGTGTACGTGACTTGGTGAATATTCAGAAGTTAGTGGTGCACTTAAAAAGTGGAGAAAGTGAGATTAGAGAAACCAGCCAGTTGCATCATTTGATATAAGTCAAGTATAATAGCCACCAACAACGAAGTCTTTTCATAAGATGAAGCAATAACTAGTCAGTATGTAATGCACATATCAAGATTCAAAATAGTGTAGCCATATAGAGGAAATAGAGAGTATAAGCTACTACAGTTACTCTAAAAAGAAAATAAAAAACAAAAATATAGATTTTTTCTATAAAATTAAAAGTGAGATAAATTGGTAAGTTGATGTAAAAGTTAATCGAATAAAGATGGGGAATGGAAATAGTTTTAAAGTTGAAAACCTTTGAGTCATTAAGAGAGGCTACAGAAAAGAGAAACAGTGCTTGATCTCCAGCTTATTATGTATTGTAGATTTTTAGTATGTGTGGAAAGAGGAAAAGGTTAAGGAATGTGCCATAATTTAAAACGGGGCCATCTAAGGCAAAGTTTGAACGTAAAACATCAAACTCAGCCACTCAAGTGGAGTTAGCAACAATAGTAGCAGTGCAAAAGAACAATGGTACTTGTTTATGCACTAGAGATTAATAGTATGTACGCAGTAATATATATGCTTACCTGAGGAGGTCCATTCTCGTCGGATTCGAGTCTATACTCGTGCATGATCCAATCAGACTTTTGTCCATTAGGGGCTCTTCCTTTGTAGAAAACAAGGGTTTTTCTCATCCCAATTAGTTTTGCCTTGTCATACACTGCTTTGTCTCTTCCTGTAGCCTTCCAAAACCCCGCCATGGTAGCTCTATTAGTTCTTGTCCCTGTTGGATACTTTTTATCTTGTGGCTGAAGAAATACCACTCATTCTGCTCTTCATATCCGATTCCTGCATCTATCTGCAATATCTTTCACATCGAAAAAAAAAAAGAAAAACCTAACAGAGATCTATGCTGTAATATTTGATGAAATGAGTTAATACGTCAGATCAAATATTAAACATTCAAAACCCTAATAGTTGATTTGAAATGAGTAAAGGAGGAAAAGATTATATTAGCTTAACATAAGTATTGTAGGTAACTATGTTCATATATGTATATATATACCTTGGAGATCCCATGGTTCAATACGATATAGATCGATCTCTCTGATAACGTCAAGGTCAATCTTTTGAGAAGCCACCTTCTTCCTCAGATAGTAACCAACAAGCTCTTCATCTGTTGGGTGGAACCGAAACCCAGGTGGGACACATGACTCCATCGACTCCATCATAGCAAATACTGGTACTGCATCAAATTCACCACCACTATATTAATACCTACCACACTTGACTTTCTTCATCATGTTTGAATTATAACCAACCAACATTTGATGTGAGTGTTAATCAATACTGCTTAATGTGTATATATAAGAGAGAAGTGAAGCCAAGGGATGATACTATATAGTAAGAGAGTAGCACACCGTAAGTGATATAAAAAAAAAAGGCAAGCCCCAATAAAATGAAATATTTAAATAATATAATACAAGGCCTTTTAGTGAAAAGGTGACAAGTTTTATCAGAGATAATCATAAGCTCATTTGGTGGTGAGCAACACTCACCAAATTCCATAGGAAATAAATATAAGCGCGTGTTATAAACAAAACCCCATGATTTCAGAAACAATGATTTTCTTCCCTGGGCCGGGTAAAAAAAAGATAAGGAAATGGGGAAAGAGAGAGAGAAGAAAGCTAATCATGAGAGTTTAGTTTTCATTAATAAAAAAAAAAAAAACAAGCAGTTGCAACTTGGCATAAGCCCTGTGTTTGGCAAGGGTGAGAAACGGACAAGCAGAGGCTGTGCTAATGATGTTGTCTTGTGTTAGTGAATGGTGAGAATGATTCATCACAGAACGGGGTTCCCCATTCCGCATTACCATTAATAATTATGTATATTCTCAAATAATTAGACACATAAGTTAAGCTCAACAAAAAACACAACATGACACGGTTAAAACAAACAAAAGCAACTTTCTAGGAAACCATTTTATTAATACTTTTGAACCAGTGGCACAGAACGGAATGTTCATGCTTAAATCTGACATAAGAAAAATACTGATGCAAGATTAGCATGCGCTAGCCAGGAGCTGAAGTGGCCAATTATATGAACACATGTACTAATCGAAATGGAAAAGAACGAACAAAGTACTAAGAACTTAAACAAATGAAATTAAGGAATAAAGAAAGGACATGGTAAATGGGAGTGACGTGATCACAGATTGGGCACGCGTCTCTCGAAAGAGAAAAGAGTTTTGGGAGGCAAAAAGAGAGGCACCGTTGTATTGGATCAAGGCGATGAGAAAAAGCAAAGGTTGAGAAAAAGTGGGAGAGGATAGGATATAGTAGAAAGCACTTATACTGGTGTTGTGGCATTGCGAGTGAGAGAGTCATGGATCGTCTAATTCAGGAAACTGGGGTTCTGACTTTGCTGTCTCTTTGTCGAGAATTTTCATGGCACATCTGACCTCTTTCCTTGACGAACCTTTGAGGAAATATGCTGACCCAAAAACCACTACTGTATGAGCTCACTACTTCCCTATACCCTATTCCAACTTTCTTTCTCATGACTTTGGTTTCGACTACAATCACTCATCATAATTCATCAGAAGATGAATCTCCCACTAAATTTAAATTTAGTATTAATGGTGTGTTTCCGAGTTGTATGTGATGAAGTTGAAGGGCAAACAGAAGATGACATTAATAAAAAAAAAATGGTAGCATGGTTGTGGTGTGGTTGTTTGAAGAAAAAAGATGCATGGTTTTTGGTTGGAGATGCAGGGGTAGTATATGATGAAAGCTTACCTTAATGAAGAGAAGAGAAGATAATTGGAATGAAGAAGAAGAAGGAAGAGAAGAAGATGATGATTGATGAGAGAGGGAGAGAGAAGGATAAGTGAGAAAAAAATCCGTTAGGAGTGAGTGAGGGATTTGTAAAGAATATAAAAGAAGAGAGGGAGGACCGCTGAAATGCGCATGGGTTCATGGTTGTCCCCCAGTAGCTGACGTCATTGGCCTAACCTTCCTACCCTATTCATTACCTTTTTCTTTTCTTTTTGTTTCTTTTCCTTTTTCCTTTCTACACCTTTCCTCTTCAACATTTTTTTTTTCTTCAAGTACACTGCCTCTTGGTAGAGATAATTAATTACCCCCTTTAATTCAAATTTACTTTTTACTGTTCTTATTATTTTGCATTTAAGTTAAACACGTTACGCACCCAAACACACATACTCTTTTATTTACCTTCTTTTTACACTCATTACTTTGTACTTTTTCATATCATCAAATTTCATTGTGGATTTTCAGTTCTTGAGCTAAATTTCATTAGTTAATACTTTATTAACTTATTGTACTTATCAGTTTCATCTTTTCCCTTCTTTCTTATAAATTTTTGGATCACATTCTTCCTTATCATCATAGGCCTATTTATGTATACATTAATTACCTACATAGTTAAAGGCTTAAAAGTTATTTTCAATCAGCAATAAATACATTATAGAAGTAGTACTAACTTGTAGTTAGCTATCTCACGTGTTAGTTTAATTATGAAGGTTTGCTAATGGTATATGTAAGGGTATAATTTTAAAGAAAAGGAAAATTCATATTTTTAATTAACAATTTACCACCACTTCACGAAGAGAGATTCCAAACTAAGTTTTTTCAATTCAAATATATAACTATAAAGTAATTTTGGGCGTTAATACTCAATTAAGTATCCAAATAAAAAAAGGGTTTTCTCTCAAGAAAAAATATTGAATTGATATTTAAAATCAAATCAATTCAAAGTTAAATGTAAACACTAAATCATTTTTTTATTAAAAAAAAGACTAAATCATATAAGTATTAAAATGAATTGCATAGCGCTCATACAAGTCATGCAAAACATTCATTTTCCAAAAAAAACCCGCAATACTTCTCTTGATAGCCGACCTGTATGCAAAACAATCATTTGTTCATTTATTTCTTTATTTAATTACTTACCTTTATAATTCTATAGATGATAAAAAAATTATATAGTAGATCTTCCAAGTAAAAAAACCACACTGGGTACACAATCTTGTCTTTTATTAACGTGTTCTACATATACTTTTCTATGATTTATAAGTAATGACTAAATTTTTGTTTCGTATTGTGGGTTATACAATTTTAAATATATACTCCTTAATTTTCAAAATATAAACCAAAGTACTTCTCTTTCACTTCTAACTTCTGTTTATATTTCAAAATCCTACTTAGATAATAATGCCTCATTTTCTATACATTTCTGAACGTCAAAAAAATTATCGTTGACATTCCTTCCATACTCCCTCTCTTTATTTATACAACATTATATTACAATTAACACTAAATAGAAATATGTTATTATATATGGTTAGTTCATTTGAATAAGTTAACATTAGTTTTTATATTAATTTTACTTTTATATATATATATATATATATATAAATATAATCTTATATATATATATAAATAATATATATATATATATATATATATATATATAAAAGTAAAATTAATATAAAAACTAATGTTAACTTATTCAAATGAAGTAACATCGTTGCAAACATTCAAATACAACAATGTCATATTTTCCCTGATATTAATACCATGTCACAGTTTATTTTCGCTAGTATTAATTTTAAGTAGTAGGTACGATTTTATGTCTCTCTAGTTTTATTTCACTGTGGCAAATTAAATAAATGTGAGCATATATTTTAATAATATCAGTTAGTTTAACAATTAATTTTAACACTATCCATACATTTTAATTGAATTATATAATGTCTTTCTTTTCGTACAGTGGAATTTTGAGGATTTTTTTAACTCGCAAAGATGTTGACAAAGCTTAAATGATTATTTGCATTTATAATTAACTATTGAAATTATACAAATTGAAGTGTGNATCGTCTTCATCCAATTTTCTTTTTAGTACTTCATCCAATCACCATCCCCGTATCGAAAGAATAATTTGTTATCTTTTCATTTAGTGAAAACCTCAATAAAATGTTTGCCATAAACATAAAAAATTTTTTTTTAATTAAAATCCTAATTTTTTAAAATAAAATGTTCAACGACCTAATAGTGAGGATTATTTTTGGATTTTGGATTTTATAGATTATTAAATTTTGATAAGTACTATTTATTTAGAAGTATGAAAATGAATTACCATATTAGTTCGCTACTGCTTGAGTTAAAATCAAGTTAATTCAATTTAACTCACGTATTAAAAGTTTTATAGTTTGATTTGACCTATTATTTATTAGTTAGGGAAGCATTAACTCATTTAAATGTATTTTGTTAGAAAAAAAATCAAGATGATAATCTATTTTATTAATTATTAACCATAATTATTAAAATATTAACTTATATAATCAAACAAACAAATAAGTTTAGTTTTTAAAGCATTTAAATAATATTGAACAACATTATAAACTTAAAAGTGTGATTAGACATTAATGGATGATAGATGAAATAATATGTCCAACTAACAACAAATATAGGGTTAAATATGTTTTTAGTCTTTAAATTATCACTTGATTTTTAGTTTAGTCTCTTTTCGAAAGTTTTGTTCTTTTTAATCCTCTGAGTTTTGAAACTATTATGTTTAGTCCTTAGAATTGAATGGCATTAGATTTTGGCTAACGGCGAGCCACGCGTGATACCAGCTTCCTCGTGAATGTGTTCCATGTTGCGCTTTTTTTTTTTCTGAAATGAGCAACTAAAAATCGGTACTCACCAACGTCGGTCGGTTGCAAGTGTGGTCCACCGACACCGCCACCTCATCCGACAGTGTTGTTTTGTGGCAGAGCTTCGATTTCCCGACCGACAAACTTCTTCCAAACCAGCCTTTGAGAGGGAGCACCAACCTCATTTCCTTGAGAAGCAGGAGCAACCACTCTTCTAGGAGCTTCGCCCGACCGACACACTTCTATAAGAGCACATCCGTCGCACACCATTCCCTACCAAACGCACAAAAAAGTGAAATACTAAAAATAAAACTAACAGGAAAAACTCTACACAAATAAAAGAGTTAACACTGAAACATCAAGAATGATAACGTCAGGCGAAAGTGCTGAAAGCTCCTGTGACACATCACCAACCAAATGAAGATTAGCATCACCAGACTCACCGCTAGAACCGTCGTTGTCACCGATTCCACCGTCTCCATTTCCACCGCCGGTGGAAGAAGCACGGGAAGCGACGGAGCTCGAAATGCAGCGGAGTTGGCACAGCTTTCGCGGGAGCAATCCGCCGAAGCAGCGGAGCGAGGACAGCGACGGTGCAGAAGTAAAAGAACATGTTCACCTATGATTTGCTCTGGCTCTTCAAAAGGACCTATCGAGATTCCTTCAATCTCACCTCCATTGGAAGTCCCGTTCACCG